GATCCAGAGAACCCCAGCAAGACAGCAAATAAGAAGACCAACTCCTAGACACAAAATAATTTGCCTAAACAAAGTAGGCATAAAAGAAACAAATCCTAAAGGCAGCAAGAGAAAAAGGCCAGATCACCTACCATGGAAGACCAATTAGAATAGCAGCAGATTTATCTACAGAAACAATGCAGGCTGGGAGAGCTTGGAGCCCTATCTTCAAAGTCCTAAAAGATAAACAATTTCAACCAAGAATAACCTATCTGGCCAAGTTAAGCTTCATCAGTGAGGGGGAATTAAAATCTTTCCCAGATATCCAATCCCTAAGAACTTACGCTGCCACCAAACCACCTCTACATGAAACACTTAAGAAAGTACTAAACATAGAAGAAAAGAAAAAAAGAACAATGTTCTTCACAAGAGTACAGGAAAGAGAATAAAATACACATAAACCAAAACCAAAAGAAAGACAAAAAACCAAATGGAAGAACAACAACTCTATAAGAACTCTATGCTAGGGATGAACTCTCACATTTCAATAATTAGCCTGAATGTGAATGAGCTAAATGCACCACTGAAAAGACATAGAATGGCAAAATGGATAAAATATCACCAGGCAACAATATACTGCCTTCAAGGGACCCATCTCACTAGAAAGGACATGCACAGACTCAAAGTAAGAGGATGGGAAACAAATTTTCAGGCGAATAGAACACAAAAGAAAGGAGATGTCGCGATTCTAATTGCAGGCAAAATACCATTTAAGCTATCAAAAATTTAAAAAGATACAGAGGGGCACTGCATAATTATAAAAGGTTCACTCCATCAACAAGAAATATCTATCCTAAACATATATGCACCCAACATAGGTGCACCAACTTTCATAAAGCAACTTCTAGGAAAACTAAAGAAAGATAGTGACTCTAACACCATCATAACTGGGAACTTTAATACTCTACTCACAAACCTAGACAGATCATCAGGACAAAAAATCAGCAATGAGATGCGGAACCTCAATGTGACTCTTGACCAAGTGGACTTAATTGATACCTACAGAGCACTCCATCCAAAGACCACAGAATACACATTCTACTCATCACCGCGTGGAACATATTCTAAGATCAACCATATAATTGGCCATAAATCAAGCATAAGCAAATTTTAAAAGGACCAAAATTTTACCATGCATCTTCTCAGATCACAATGGAATAAAAATAAACATTAACACCAACAAGGTCCCCTCCAAAACCCACAAAGACATGGGCACTAAACAGTATGATGCTAAACAACTCCTTGGTCAATGATGAAATCAAAACAGAGATCAAAAAATACCTAGAAACAAATGAAAATCAAGAAACATCTTACCAAAATCTCTGGGATGCCTTGAAAGCTGTACTAAGAGAGGAATTTATATCCCTACAAACACACATGAAGAAAAGGAAAGGACCACAAAATAACAGACTAACAAGCCACCTAAGGACGCTGGAAAAGCAAGACCACAAATGCCCTAATTTCAGCAGATGAATCCAGATCACCAAAAGAAAAGCCCAAATCTAGGACATAGAAGACAAAAAGTTAATACAAAAATCAATGAAACAAAAAGCTGGTTCTTTGAAAAGATAAACAAGATCAATGGTCCCCTAGCTAGACTGACCAAGAAAAAGAGAGAAAAAACCCAAATAAGCACAATCAGAAACACAAAAGATGAAGTCACATCTGACCCTGAAAAAATACAAAAGATCATTAGAGACTATGTACACCTGTATGGAAACAAACTTGAAAACCTCAAGGAAATGGAGGACTTTCTGTCATCACACAACCTGCCTAGGTTGAAACAAGAAGAAATTGAGACCCTAAATATACCAATAACAATCAAGGAAATTGACTATGTAATAAGAAAACTACCTACAAAAAAAAAAAAGCCCTGGACCAGATGGCTTTCCAACAGAATTCTGCAAGACATTTAAGGAAGAGATGATCCAAATCTACTGAAGGTTTTTCAGGCGATTGAGAAAGATGGAACTCTCCTCAAATCATTTTACGAAGCTAACATCACATTGATAACCAAGCCAGGTAAAGACCCAACAAAGAAAGAGAACTACAGGCCATATCTTTGATGACATAGATGCTAAATTCTCACAAGATCCTAGCAAC